TACATCATTTCTAGATCTATCCTGAAATACAATGCAGTGAGCGACAGGATTATATCCATACGCATACAAGGAAGTCCAGTGAATACCACTATCATTTAAATATATGCACCAACAACCAGAGCCAAAGAAGAGGAAATGTAAGATTTTTACCAACTTTTGCAGTCAGAAATTGATCAAACATGCAATCAAGATGCATTAATAATAATGGGCGACTGGAATGCAAAAGTTGGGAACAGGGAAGAAAGATCAGTAGCTGGAAAACATGGGCTCGGTGAGAGAAATGAGGCTGGAGATAGAATGATAGAGTTCTGCACATTCAATGATTTATTCAATTATTTACTTATTATTGCAAACACCGTTTATAAGAAACATAAATGTAGGCTATACACATGGATTTCACCTGATGGTAGGCATAGGAATCAAAGCGATTAAATTTGTGGAAAGATTCACTGGAGAAGCTCACTATCAACAGTGAAAACCAGGCCTGGTGCTGATTGTGGGACAGACCATCAACTACTCATATGCAAATTCAAGCTGAAGTTGAGGAAAATTAAGTCAAGTCCACAGGAACCAAGATTTGACCTTAAGTCTGTCCCACTTGAATTTCAAAACCATCTCAGAAACAGGTTTGAGGCCTTGAGCACCAATGAGAGCAGACCAAATGAGCTCTGGGAGGTTATCAAGAAAATCGTCCATGAAGAATGCAAAAGATCATTACAAAGGCTAAAGAAGAAGAAAAGACCAAGATGGAGGTTAGATGGGACTCTGAATATTGCATTAGAGTGCCGAAAAGCTAAAGCTAAAGGAAGAAATCAAAGAGCTGAATAGAAAATTTCAAAAGGCAGCTCGGGAAAACAAAGCAAGATACTATAATGAAATGTGCAGTGAGCTGGAGTCAGAAAATCAAAAGGGCCGGACTCGCTCAGCGTTTCTTAAGCTAAAGGAGTTGAAAAACAAATTCAAGCCACGGGTGGCAATACTTAAAGATAGTTTGGGTAGAATGTTGAATGATCCAGGATGTATAAAAAGAAGATGGAAGGAGTACACAGAGTCACTGTATCAGAAGGAATTGGCTGACGCAGAGGAATTTCATGAAATAACATCTAAGCAAGAACCTATGGTGATGAAGGAGGAAGTTCAAGTTGCTATGAAGGAATTGGCAAAAAACAAGGCTCCAGGTTGACTGCATGCCAATTGATTTATTTCAACAAACAGATTTCTGCCCTGGATGTGCTCACTAAATTGTGCCAGGAGATCTGGAGAACAGCCAGCTGGCCAAATGTCTGGAAAAGATCAATATTTGTTCCCATTCCAAAGAAAGGTGATCCAACAGAGGGTGGAAATTACCAAACAATATCATTGATATCACATGCAAGCAAGATTCTGCTGAAAATTATCCAAAAACGTTGGGAACAATATGTCAACAGAGAACTGCCAGATGTGCAGGCTGGATTTTGAAGAGGTCATAGGACTAGGGATATTATAGCTAATGTAAGATGGATCTTGGCAGAAAGCAAAGAATACCAGAAGACTATCTATCTGTGCTTCACTGACTATGCAAAGACTTTTGACTGTGTGGATTATTACAAGCTATGGCTGACTCTGAGAAGAATGGGAATACCAGAACATTTGATCGTGCTAATGCGAAACCTATACTTGGACTAAAAGGCAGTTGTCAGAACAGAGCAGGGAGACACTGGATGGTTCAAAATCAAGAAAGGGGTCTGTCAGGGATATATTTTGTCTCCATACCTTTTCAATCTGTATGCAGAACAGATCATCCGAGATGCTGGGCTGTACGAGGAGGAATGTGGCATCAGGATTGGTGGAAGAATCATCAACAACCTGTGTTATGCAGATGACACAAACCGACTTGCTGAAACTGAGTAGGACTTGAAGTGCTTGCTGCAGAAGGTCAAGGACTGCAGTCTTCAATATGGATTGAAGCTCAATATCAAGAAAACAAAGATTCTCACCACTGGGCCAATTGGCAGCATCAGTATGGATGGTGAGGAGATTGAGATAGTTAACAGTTTTAGTTTACTTGGCTCCACAGTCAACACTCTTGGTAACAGCAGCCAGGAAATCAGGAGACGAATTGCATTGGGAAAGTCAGCTGTGAGGGACCTCTCAAGAGTACTGAAGTGCAATGACGTCAGGATGGAGACTAGGGTGTCCCTGATCCAGGCTATGGTCTTTGCAATTACGTGCTATGTGTCGGAGAGTTGGACAGTAAATAGGGATGATAGAAAGAGAATTGATGTTTTTGAGTTCTGGTGCTGGAGAAGAGTATTGAATATACCATGGACTGCTAGGAGAACAAACAGGTTTGTCCTGGAGAGGGTGAAGCAAGAATGTTCCCTGGAGTCAAGGATTCTGAAGCTTTGTGTGACATACTCTGGGCATGTTGCAAGGAGGGACTGGTCCTTGGAGAGGGACATCATGTTTGGGAGAGTGGAGGGACGGCGCAGGAGAGGAAAACCCTTGATGAGATGGATCGATTCTGTGAGTGGAGTGCTGGGAATGAATGTGTTTGAGACAGCAAGGTTGGCTCAGGATAGAATAGCGTTTAGGGCTCTTGTACATAGGGTCGCTATGAGTCGCAAACGACTCGATGGCACATAACAACAACAACATACATCAGAGAACTGGATAACAACAAAGAATGACAGAAGTAGGATCAATGCCTGAATTGTAATGCCAGAAAATAGTGCTGAACATCCTGTGGAATACCCGAAGAACAAACAGATTTGTCCTGGAGAAGAGTGAAAACAAGCTGCTCCCAGGAGGCAAGGATATTGAAACTCTTTCTCACATACTTTGACTCAGAATAGGGCAGATTTCAGAGCTAATTAACACAAGGATGCTATGAGATGCAGACAACATGATGGCACCTAACAACAGTGTTACACTGCACAATAGCTTCTTGGTCTAGGTATAGGTTTCACATAAGCATGATTAAGTGTTCTGTGATTCCATTCTTCACAATTTTAGCTATACCTTGTAATCCACACAGTCAAACACCATATGTAGTCAACAAAGCACAAACAGACATTCTTCTGGTATTCTCTGCTCAGGCAGGATTCCCTGGTGCCACAATCTCTTCTAAATCCAGCTTGAACATTTGGCAGTTCCCTGTCTATGTCCTGTTCTAGATGTCTTTGAATGCTCTTTATCATTTTGCTTACATGTGATATTAATTTTTTTTAAAAGGCACACATCAGGATTGTATCCTTTCTGAATACCTATTCAATCTGTATGCTGAGCAAATTATTCAAGAATCTGGACTCTCTGAAGAGGTATATGATATCAGGATTGGAGCAAGATTCACTGGTATGCAGATGACACAACCTTGCTTGCTGAAACTGAGGACTTGAAATACCTGCTACAGAAGATAAAAAATGGCAGCTTTCAATGCGGATTGCATCTCAAAGTCAAGAAAACAAAAATTCTCACCACTGGACCAGTAAGTGACACCATGATAGATGGAGAAAAGAGTGAAACTGTCAACGACTTCATCTTAGAGCCACAATAAATATATTTAGCACCTGCAGTCATAGGGACCTCTCCAGATTACTAAAGAGCTATGATGTTAGTTTGAGAATTAAGATGTATCTGATTCAGGTCATGCTATATATCTGAGAGCTGGACAATGAATAAAGAAAAACTGATGCCTTTGAGTTGTGGTGTTGGAAGAGAGTAGTGAATATCCTGTGAACTGCCAAAAGAACAAACAAACATGCCTCTGAGAAGATGAATTCAGACTGTTCCTTAAAAGCAAAGATGGCTACACTTCATCATACTTATTTTGGGCCTGTAGCTAGGAGAGGCTATTCCTTAGAGCAGGACAACATGCTTGGAAAGGTGGAGGCACAGCAAAGGAGAGTAAGGCTCTCAATCAGGCGGCCTGACAAGTGACTAGAGCAATGGGTTTGAGAGTGCCAGACATTGTGAGGTTGTCATATGATAGGACAGGGTTCATATACATTGTTTTATAAGATCACTATGAGTCGTACTTGACTCGATGTCACCAATAATAATTGAAAATAATCTTACAGAATGCATATGAATAGTTAAATGAAAGTTTAATTTGCTTTGTAAATCTTCACTTATTCATATCACAATAAAAATATATTTAAAGAAAAGAAATTTGGCTGTTATACACACTTAGGAGCTCTGTTGGCCTAGTGGTAAGCAGTTGCACTATCACCTTAAAGGCACATGATTCGAGTTCACCAGCTTTATGAGGAAAAAAATGAGCAATCGCCTCTTGGGCAATTAATAGACTCTGAAAGCCAACTAGAGTGGCATATATGAGTCAATTCCAATTCAAGCTAAATTACTATTTAATTGAAAGATGATTTCTGGGGATATATTCAGCTTAAGGTTTAAATTTTATTTCAGGGCAAGTGTTTCAGGGGATGGGGATCATCCAAGCCTTTGTTGTTCCTGAAAGTCCCCTCTTTACATTCTTTTAAAACATCATTGCTGTTTGTTGCTGTGTACTGTCAAATTGGAAATGATCCATAGCTGACCCTCCAGCAGGTTTTCAGAGATAGTTAATCACATGGGAAAAAGACTTCCATCCTTCTGCCACGCAGAGCAGCTGGTGGATTTGAGCCACATACCTTGTACAATTTGATAAATTTGTGATTCTAAATGATCAGGAAGGTTTTAGTCATTTTTCCCCTCTTGCATTTATCTTTATTTCATCAAAGGGCCCCCCAAAAAATACTACACTCACAATACTCTTTGACTTTAAATAGTTTACATAACTGAAAATAAAAACTTGAATATGAAAAGGAAGGAAAAGAAGGAAGAAAATACATATGGTTATCTTAAAGCCTTAATACATCTAAACTGCTATTATATATAATACAGAAAACACAAGGTATGGAGAACCATGGCTCACCAAAGAGAGAAAAACAGGAGTTAACTTCCTTTTCTCTAAAATTCAAGCATAGTATATTTCCCAAGGTAGAAGTTCCCCTTCCTCTCACCTCCAGAGAATACTTTAGTGTTTCCACTGTTGAAAGCCAGACAGAAAATGTTGGAATGATGCTCTCCTTTCAGTTGAATGGGCTTAACTCTGGAGTGGATGGCTTGTTCCATGTGCCATAAAAGAACTCGACGATCGTCTCCTCCTGGAGAGGGAAGCAAGAATCCAGGGTTAAAATAGTTGACATTCTGAGCTTATACTTGAATGCCATCCTTTCTAAAACTGCACCTCCTAACTCTATGAGATTCTGACAGTGTACATAAACCCACGTTTCTTTCCCTTAAGAAGCTCTGCTGGCTTAGTGGTCAATAATTGCACTACTAATGCAAAGGGAGATAGTTTGAATCCACCAGTTGCTTTGCAGGAGAAAAACAGGTAATCAACTCCTTATTTACTGCCTCTGAAAATGCATAGGAGGGCTTACCTATGGGTCAGTCCCAATGCAATGGTACACACACACACACACACACACAAAACACAACTTTCCCTTTTGATAGTTATATGACCTCTCAGGATGCACAGGAACTCGGTTCCAGGTATTTGAGTCTTGAATAGACACACAGGGAAATAGAAACAGGTAAGCACTGGTATCTTGAGCTGCCCCAAAGTCACTCTATTCCTTTTTTTTTTTTTTTTACATGCATGGTTGGTGTTTTATTTTTCAAAGAGGAGTTCTAAAACATCACACTAAATCAGATCAAAAGGTAAAGTTTAAAACAGACTGTTTTATAAGGATAAATGATAATATATGTAATGACTGTTTGTTCACTCTGCAAAACCTTGATCTTAGGGTGTATGATACATCTAGTTGGCAATAGCACCCAGGTTTTCCAAATTAGCTTGTCTTCATTTTTCTCTGGTCTGCAAAGACTTCTTCTCATTAGCTGCCTTCTGCTTTTGTTGCATGATCTCTGAATCCCTCTGCCTTCTCTGAGAGGCAGTCAAACTGTCCTCTTTCTTTTTCCCTTGCTAATCTCCTGGGTTTTCTTCAAGTTTTTCTGGCGGGCAAGTTCTCTCTGATTTCCACAGGCCATCCCGACAACCAATCCGAGGCTGGAAGAGAGGAACTAGGAAAATCAACGGTTCTCTGGCGGTGTCATCCAGGCGGCGGTCTCCTAATATACCCAGCGTGCCGACCCTCGCAGGGCGACCTCTATTCCTTTTCTTACAAAAGGTTCAACTGTTAAAATGCTTCTTCCCTTGCTACCTAGGATTTTCCCATTCAAAATCTCTTTTTGGCCTAATGCCTTTGAGTTGTACTACTGGAGAAAAGTACCAACTATCTCACAGACAGTAAAAAGTAGAGACATATCTTCGAAAATATGCGGCCAGAGTACTCTTTAGAGGCAGGGATGGTGAGGCTTTGTCTCACATACTCTGGACATGTTTTCAAGAGGGGCTACTCCTTAGAAAGGGACATCATGCCTTTCCAACGAGCACAGTGGAGGATCGGCAAAAGAGGAACAGACTGACAGAATGACGGCAACAATGGGCTTGAGTATGTCAGAGACGATGACAATGACACAAAACAGGTCAGGGTTCAGATCCATTGTTCATAACATCACTATGAGTTGTATATGACTCTATGGCACCTAACAACAACAGCTTTGAAAGCATCATTCCTCTCTAGAGAACCTAAAAGAACAAACATGTCCTACAAATTTTTTGTATTCGCGATGAATTGAAAATATCCAGAAAGAGTAATACCAGAACATTACCTACGGTTAGTACTTCTAGAAAATGAAGTCAGAAGATAAAAGTGAAAAAGGATATGAGAGGAGGGTACTTATATTTTATATATTATTTTAATTGCTTTAACAAGCCTATATTAGATTCCTTTCTGTCACAAGTGGCAATACTTAAGGATGCTTTGGGTAGAATGTTAAATGATCCTAGAAGCATTAAAAGAAGATGGAAGGAGTACACAAAGTCACTGTATCAGAAGGAATTGGCTGACACAGAAGAATTTCATGAAATAACATATGAGCAAGAGCCTATGGTGATGAAGGAGGAAGTTCAAGCTGCTCTGAAAGAACTGGCAAAAAACAACTGACATATTTCAACAAACAGACGCTGCCCTGGATGTGCTAAGTTGTGCCAAGAAATCTGGAGAAACAGCCATCTGGCCAACTGATCGATATTTGTTCCCATTCCAAAGAAAGGTGACCCAACAGATTGCAGAAATTATCAAACAATATCATTAATGTCACATGCAAGCAAGATTCTGCTGAAAACTATCCAAAAATGACTGGAGCAATATGTCAACAGAGAACTGCCAGATGTGCAGGCTGGTCTTAGAAGAGGTCGTGGAACAAGGAATATTATAGCTATTGTTAGATGGATCTTGGCAGAAAGCAGAGAATACCAAAGGAATGTCTATCTGTGGTTCATTGACTATGTAAAGGCTTTTGACTGTTTGGACCACAACAAACTGTGGCTGACTCTGAGAAGAATGGAAATCCCAGAACATTTGATTGTGCTTATGTGAAACCTATACTTGGACTAGGAGGCAGTTGTCAGAACAGAGCAAGGAGACACTACTTGGTTCAAAATCAGGAAGGGGTCTGCCAGGGAAGTATTCTGTCTCCATACCTTTTCAATCTGTATAAAGAACAGATCATCCGGGATGCTGGGCTGTATGAGAAGGAATGTGTTATGCAGATGACACAATCCAGCTTGCTGGAACTGAGGAGGGCCTGAAGTGCTTGCTGCGGATGGTCAAGGACTGCAGCCTTCAATGTGGATTGAAATTCAACATCAAGAAAACAAAGATTCTCACCACTGGGCCAATTGGAAGCATCAGTATGGATGGTGAAGAGATTGAGATAGTTAACAGTTTTTGTTTACTTGGCTCCACAGTCAATACTCCTGGTAACAGCAGCCAGGAAATCAAGAGACAAACTGCATTAGGAAAGTCGGTTGTGAGGGACCTCTCAAAGACTACTGAAGAGCAACGACAGGCTGGAGACTAGGGTGTCCCTGATCCAGGCTATAGTTCTTTGCAATTACGTGCTATGCATCAGAGAGTTAGACAGTGAATAGAGATGACAGAAAGAGAATTGATGCCTTTGAGCTGTGGTGTTGAATATACCTTGCACTGCTAGGAGAACAAACAGGTTTGTCCTGGAGAGGGTGAAGCCGGAATGCTCCTTGGAGTCAAGGATTCTGAAGCTTCGTCTGACATACTTTGGGCATGATGCAAGGAGGGACTGGTCCTTGTAGAGGGACATCATGTCTGGCAGAGTGGAGGGGCGGTGCAGCAGAGGAAGACCCTCAACGAGATGGATCGATTTTGTGAGTGGAGTGATGAGAATGAGGGTGTTTGAGATGGCTAGGTTGGCACAGGATAGAACGGCATTTAGGGCTCTTGTTCATAGGGTCACTATGCGTCGCAAGAGACTTGATGGCACATTAACAACAACAGGAATTTCTAGAATGGCTTTCTTCTGCACAGTACTCTGCGTTTCAAGCCATGCTATTTGTAGAATATCTTGGGATAATTTAAAGTGATGTGTCCTAAGTACCATACTGGTGATGGCCAAAATCCATGGGAGATTGAAATCACTGAGGCAGAAATTAATATGGACGGCAGGGCCTGCCTGCCCTTGTGCTTTGCCCTTAAAGCTAGTGTCAGAAGATGAAAGACTACAGCCTCCTTAAGCAAATTATAAGGAACTTTGTACAAAGACACTTTTTTCAACCAATGTGGGCAAAACAACACAAAGTTGCAGAGGCATAATCTGCAAGTGTTGAGCTGTATATAAACCAGCAGAGAGAGCACCTGTGGACAAACCTCTGGCCACAATAAGCAAAGGAAGGTGGATGAAGCAATAGTAATCAGTTCGGAATGTGGGAGGGGAAATCTCTGGTTCCCTGATTATTGTAAATTAGCTAATGATTCTGAAAGTCAGAGATAAATTGTATGGTTTCATCAAAGAGAGCTGTGACCTGTCTGTAACACAAAGGTAAAACAGGAACAACTAAGGCAGCTCCCTGAGCTTGGTAGGGTGGCCCTCCCGGGGTCCAGCCTCTTTTAGCGTACCATATAATGACTGAGCTCAGAAACCTTTCAAAAAGTCAGGTCCACTGTTCAGTACTAGGCAAAGGAAAAACAGCTGCCCAGCCTTTTAATCTTGACTTCTTTATAAACAATAGTTTATAAACAATTAGTTCTAATTTATCAGACAACTCAAAAAAGATCATTATGTAATTCTGGCAGTTTTAGGTTAATTTGATTCTGAACTAAAACTCACCAGGTTATCCTACTGAAGTATACTATAATCACACTGTGGCAGCAGCTCTGTAGTTAAATAAACTTTATTACTTGGTGTTGCTTGGTGCCCTCGAGTTAGTTTGGACTGACAGCAACCCTTGGTACCACAGAATGAAACACGACCAGTCCTCAGCCATCCACACAATCCTTGCTAGACACTGTTGCAGCCCCTGTGGCAACCTGGCTCATTCCTTTTCCACTGACCCTCTCTATCAAGAATGATGTCCTTTTCCAGGGACTGGTCCCTCCCAATAACATGAACACTGGTGGTCTAGTGGTAGGAGCTGTACTGCCAACTCACCAGCTGCTCCATAGGAGAAAGATAGGTAATCTCCTCTGGCGAGATCTGTTGTTATGTGTCTTTGAGTCACCTGCGACTCATAGCGACCCTATGTACATCAGCTCTGAAACCTGCCCAACCTTGTGCCTATCTCATTGTCTCCAACAGACCTAATCCCATTGCTTCCCTCACTGAGTCAATTCATTTTATCCTGGGTCTTCCTCTCCTGGGCTGTCCCTCCATTCTTTCAAGTACAATGTCCTAGCCCATATGGCTTCATCAATGAATTCTACTAAATATTTAAAGAAGAACTGACACCAAATATACACAACTATTTCAGAACAAAGAAAAGAGGGAACCTGACAAAATTTATTCTATGTGGGGGGAGGAACTGTATAACAACGAAAGAAAGTTACTTTTCAAAGAGAAGAGAGAACTGGGGGAGAGGGGTGAGCAGGGAGAAAAGTGCAACAATGAATGAATGGAAATCCAAAGTCTCAGTAAATTTTCATTAAAATTAATAATAAGAATTTTAAAAAGAAATAGACTTTTTTAAAAAAATTTATTCTATGAAGTATTTGTAACTCTGATA